TATCATTTGGAGATGCTTTTGAGCCGCTTCGATGTTATTTAAATCAATAATTTTGTTAATAACAATAATTCTTTAATTATTATGGACATATAACTGTAGAACATGATGAAGCTATTCCTTGCTCATCAGTCAGCCTTTTAAAATTTTTATTGGGCATGTTTAATCAATTGAAACCAAAGAAATTCTGTTTTTGTAGTTCAGTTCTTCTGATGTGACCAGTAAAATATCAGAATACATCGATTTTTCATATGATTTGTTGGTATGTTTTCAAAATATTTACCATCCTGTGTCGAATATCACATGGTATGTTACACAGTATGTTTTAGTGATTGACGTAAGTAGTGGAAAAGCATTCGAACGAATCAAAAGATGATCTAATTGCAGGACGGCCATTTCGCTCATTTAAGTTTAAACTCCTAAGCGGTGTACCTGGATGAATCCGGATCACAGGGCTGAATTGGTTGGAACCGTTCTAGGTGAATCTGACTACTCAGGTGAACTGTCAAATCATACACTTATTTTCTGAAATTTCATTATAATTGCCTTAGAAACCGAAAACGTGAAAGCACAGTGATTACTTACAGTATGAACTTGAAAATATTGTAGTTATCCGATGCAATCAGAAAAAGAATTAAATTTTATGGGTTTTAGAATATATGGAATGGAGAAATATTTTCTACAGTTTGGTTTGTAAGGGTTAGTTATGTTTTTACGAGTTGATCACGGATTGATATCAGTTAGAGAACCATTGAAAACCAGGGAGTACTGGACAGCTGCTGTTTCATCCTACTTTGGCAATCATCGTCAGTATGCTCTCACTGGGATTCGAACTCAGGACCTTCCGGTAACAAGGCAAGCTCGTACACCATTCAGCCAATGGGACTTGATTCAATGGCTCACGAATTCTAACTTCTACCAATTCGTGATCTAGCGCGACCCCAACAAATGTCGTTGGTGGGACATCCATCCTCACACGTGACATCTGGTTGAACCTCAATGGTCACGACTTCTCACTAGAACTCCATCCTGTAGCAAGTCACTAGCGAGCATTAGATTAATTTCCTATAGTTTGGTTTGTAAGGGTTAGTCGCGTTAAATCACGAATTGGTAGAAGTTAGAATTAATGGGTTGGCCATTGAATCGGGTCCCAGTGTCTGAATGGTATACGAGCTTGCTTTGTAACCAGAAGGTCCTGGGTTCCAATCCCAGTGGGTGCGTACTGACGATGATTCCCAAAGTAGGATGAAACAGTTGTCCAGTACTCCCTGGTTTTCAATGGTTCTCTAACTGATATCAATCTGTGATTAACTCGTAAAAATGGATAAAATAATTGAAAACTTTTGAATTCTCCATGTTCTAGAAGATAGTTCAGTATTGAGCTGTTGACAGATGTCACTGTTACAGGTCTCATTAAAACAAAATGGTATTAAAATGTTCTGTGGTCAGATTCAGTCATTATTAGTGTCAAGTAAGATAGACTGCTAACTTGGGTTAATTAAAATTTATGCTCGAAAAACATTACAATATTACGAATGTCCAGTATCTGACTGAAGACCCGAGGATTGACAGACGTCAATATTTATACTACAAAGTTTGAGGAGTAAATTTGATTTATAATATCACCAGTTTGCCCTCCTAGTTAACCACAGATCGATCAGATGGTCTGAACTGATTCAGTTGTTTGAGCTCAGTCAAACCGGGTACACCGCTGATGATCACGTTCCAAACGAGTGAATTGGTCATTCAGTATTTAGATCACTTAGGTATGACTAGCAAAAACTACTGGTTGATGTGATTGGTAGCCAACTACTCATCTCAATCAATCAGTAATATATAGTGGATTTTTTTGTAATCTCTTGTTAGGAGTCACGGGAAAGGCTGAAACTGAACACTACTTTGTCCGTAAGTGACAATGAGGACTAGGTTAAATACTTAGTTATGATATCGTTGGTTAGAACTCTGTTTTCCTGGAAAGCTTTTCCATGTTTCCGGCCATAGCCACACTTTATGTGTGAGGGCTCATGATACTGTCTACTTGCCGAGGTTTTGTATTGATTGGAACGGAGTTTGAAACTGGAATGTCTATTGGCTTTAAGTTAAATGTATGACTTACATTTCCATAAAATGATATAGAAACGTGATGATTTCTATTCATAAACTAATAAAACCTCTATAAACCTAACTCTGAAAAACTATGAATAATTTGTTGAAGTTGATAATAGTATAATCAATAACAACTCAACTGACATTAGTCACCATTAACAACCTTTAGAATATTGCTTGATCAAATGAGAAACAAATGCTTGCAGTTAATTTATTCAAATTTTAATTACTGTAAAAGTGGTGTGAGCATGAAGAAAATAATTAAGTAGTTTCATACATTTATTCCCCTTTTATAAATTTCAATAAAGCAAGAACAACAGTTTGTGTAGAATAAAATGGTACTGTAACAACAGAAGACAAGGGTCAGGCAACAGATCGTTTATTAAGGAAAATCAACACATATTTATAGATTTTAATGTACATTATTGTAGATTATTGTTAGTAGAAAATACAGTCTTTTGATTGGTTGTTTCTCACAGAAAGTTAACCTCGCATCTCTTTGTGGCTGTGTCGGATCATCCATATGCTAACTGTATCCGCCTACGCGAAGCCTTTGTTCTCGTTTTCTCACCACCAATATTGGGGATATAAACATTGACGTCAATTACCCTGTCTACCAACTTTGGCTAGCAGCCAGCTCTCACCACAGTACCATTATTTATTTCGTTGGCTTCTAATCATCTGCTTACTGCCTCAATAAATTATTAAGTTTATGTACAGAAACCATTTTAATGTGCTTACACAGAGAGTTTACTTTTGAAAAACAAACGTATACATAAAATGGTAATAATAATAATCACTTCATCCCAAACAATAATAATCATACTGAATGGCATTTGTAGCGTTACGTAATCAAACGGGAGAGAGGATGAAAATATCCAGTAATTATTATAGGCACAAGAAAAAATGGAAGTATTATGCATATATCGAAAGTCATTTCCACTCTGAAATGTCAGCTCAACACCATAACAAAACGGTGTAGGCTAGAAATTTATTGGATGTAAAGACGGATAAAGTATTGATATTGAGTTAATATGGGCTACTTTGAATCACAAAATTTAAAGATAAAACGATTGAGCGAAGACATATTTAATCTTCAATCATTAAATCCTCAGAAGTTTGGAAAGGGTTCTTTGTTCTCATTCATTTCACAGAGCGCCTCTCAACACATAACGAGTCCCCTTCCTGCGCTGTGTGCTCCCATTTTGGCTGGCATTCATACAACCCATAAGTTTTTTCATGTTTCCATTTGGTGTCTTGTCCACTGGAATAGGGAGGATTGAATTTATTATGGTATGTGAACAAGCAGTTGCCTTTGGCAATTTACACTGCATATTCTATACTTATGAGTGCATGTAAAATCGAAATTACAGTTACTAGTTGTTGCAGCGAATAATGCCGATCAGCATATTTCTAGTCAGTAACGAAAACCCAACTGTCTGGTTTTGGCATTTATCAGTTTATGTCATACTTGGCAGTGGTCATATTCCTGGTTACCTGCGAAAGAACATTTGTTACGCGCATTAGTCCAGTATCTATTTTTTAAACAAAGAGGTCTTCAGTATATCTGACATCGTTCACACTATACATCTGATGATGCTAATTAGTTTTGAAGTTAGGCATACAATGTGGGCTGAAGATGGTTGTTTAACTGATAAGACTGCAAATCTTTATCGACTTGCAATGATGTGTCACAAAATCATTTACACTGCCTCTGTCGTGTATACACTTTCTACTATCGTCCAATTTCTTATCACGTCGACCAGTAATCGATAAGTTATGTTCCTTACCAGAAACATTTTTATAACGACATAAATTGATCTGCTATGATGAGAAATTTTACGTAGATTCATAATATTTTAATATAGAAAAAATCCCCATTTAGACATTTGGAAAACAGAAAGATTGAGCGAAGAAATATTTACTTTTCAATTAAATCCTCATCACACTCTGGCTCTACTCTAATATATATAGCATTTTTATTACAATACACAACAGTTTACCAAACAAGTGGTGATATGTTTGTTAACAATAATTAAACAGTGTCAAAATGTCAATGGGTTGATAATTAACGAAGAAAATCAATACACATTTAAAAAGTAGAAATGGTTAGAATAAATTAATTTTACAAGGATAACACGTAATTAAAGATGAAGTGGTCAAAATAAAAATAAAATAATTTGGACAATTATAATTTTTATAGGTTTAGGGGGAGGGGGGCGACGTAGTCCTGTTTATGCATTCTTGTAACGATGGCCACGGTAAGGAAAGTGGCTGTACAAATTTCTTCTGAACACATAGGCTTGGCTTCTTCAGGTGGATTCCGATTGCTTCAGCTGTCTGTAGAAGACGAACTCGTAGAGCAAAATTAAGATTAGTAGGAATGCGATAAATAATTTTAAATGCAGTATTAACATCAACTTTGTGCTCAGTATCAACAAGGTGTGCTAAAATAGAACTTCGAATAGATCTTGTTTGTCCCTTGCTTAACCATGATGGATGATGTTCGGAAATACGACGATGAACCCATTGACATTTTGACACTGACTAATTATTGTTAACAAACATATCACCACTTGTTTGGTAAACTCTTGTGTATTGTAATAAAAATGCTATGTATATTAGAGTAGAGCCAGAGATGAGGATCTAATTGAAAAGTAAATATTTCTTCGCTCAATCTTTCTGTTTTTCATAATATTTTCACAATAACCATTTTATAACAGAGCTTTATACATAAATGCTGCCTCATAAGCATTCCAATGTAGTGAGCTATACAAAAATCTATGTATCGATTTCACTTACAATTTAAATAAGGGATCAATTAACCACTAGTCTTATTCACAAATAGTATACAGGTGTTATAACAGGAATTCATTTTTCTTATATGAAAAATTCTTATGATGTATAAAAAGCCAGACTGGTATAAATATTTTACTCCTGTTGCTTCAGTGACAAGAACACATTGTGTACTTGAATGGCCTGAGTCAAATTTCGCGTCTGAATTCCCTGTGTTTTGTCCTACTCATGGTTGTTTAAGTCAATGTCATAGGAAAACTAATGAGGGTGGTGATGATGATGATGATAAAGTTAATCTGACCAAATCGAATATCAATGGAAATGGTGATGCAAAACTTGAAAATGATTCAGATAATAAAATTATTGAAAATATTTTAAGAAATATTTGGAAGAATGAGTTATCAAACTATTTGAAAAACTTTTATTCTACTGGAAATGCATCTGATGTATTAAAAAGACGCCAAGAATGCTTTACCGGAAAGCCAGCAACCTCATCACCACTTTGTATATTAACATAGTTTTTATACGAAAAAGGAACAAACTCAAGGAGAGAAGATTCATGTTGACATTCATTCATAAGCGGAATTATTAAGTAATTGGTTTCTTACATCTGTTATTTCAATGCATCCAATTTAATTCGAATTACTTTCGAAAGTTTAAAATATTGTTCATTTATTGTTGTGTAACAAATAGGGGAAAAGATGCTTTGATATTTCGAGATGTTAAATTTATTTAGGGATATTATATGAGTAAATATTAATTGATTGGAATTATCCTATTTTTTTGAAATCATTAATGAGATAATTGATTGACTATGAGTTAGTTAAGAGTGGAAATTAAGACCTGTGGGAGGTTGATATGCAAGTTGTGAAGACTCAGTATGATCAGTATTTCCGCTCGTATCTCCAGAATAGTATATCGACTTGTTTGCCTAATTTTAGGTTGGTATTCGGGATAAGCGAACAAGAACGATAAATAGTTTTATCCTGTGATGGTTTTCTGTATCCCAGATAAACCGCTTACTACTCAGTCGGGTATTGGTTAATCAGAAACAACAAATAAAAGGAGTTATAAAAGTGTTAGTCCTAACCCTAAATTGAGCTCAGAAGTACACCTATGATGAGAGTTAGAGGAGATGACAGTAAGACGTAGTAGTTGCGTCCCAGTTAGAGTTCGTAGTACGGTTTATATCTGAAAGGAAATGGTCTAGTATTGCTGTATCTACAGCTCAAAGACCGATAGAGTAGAAGGTTAATTTCAAATCATTCGAAAGGTCAGTTTTTGTGCAAAATCCAAAATAAGTATTCATCAGTGGTGTTAAGCAATAGTCTCTGTCTAAAATAAGAGATTTAATGCTCATATTTGCATTACGTCGACGCAGCTGATACTTACTGTATATAAGTCTTAAAGATGAACAGAAAAAGGTTCAAAGCTTTTTTCTTTTTAATTCCTTTTTGATTGGTTTTAATCTCTGGGGAGAATTCTTGTCATTTACAGGGAAGTAAGACAGTTTCCTTGTCCATATGTCGTATAGTCATACTTAATTTAACCAACAGTACAGTAGTTTCCCCTAACCTGAAAATAATTATGCAGCGGCAGAAGACTAGAGGATCCAGTAACGAAATTGTTAGTAACTCAACACACAGATATAGGCATAATACGTCTACCATATATTAGGATCACAATTTGCACACATCTTCGGTATTGTGTAACTTTTGTCGTCTCTACTGTGCTTCTTTTTGTATTTTTCATGTAGTTTAACAAGCAACATCCATTTCTTCTCTTCGCCAATACATTTATCTGTCTACTATTCGATCTTCTTGCAGCTGACATACATATTTATATCTGCATATATATGCTACTTATAGGTCTTGTCAGTAGTACATGCAAAACTATATTAAGTAGGGCTAGAACTGGTTTAAATTCAAATCAACAGATTAAGCCATTGGGTTTTCGCCAATAATTTGATTGCATAACATTGATACCCGACAGTATGCATCTAATTAAGTCATGTAAAGTTAGTGTGCATATGTTCTCACCGACACAGACGACTCTTGTCTTCCGGATTTTCGGTAGGCTTACGGCAGCAGAAGTTATCTGAGGGTGAACAGTCGTTCCTGTGTGGAAGCGGAATCGAATTATTAATATAAACATATGTAACAAATTCGGTTATGTGTTACAGGTCATGTCAAAAATTACTCCGTTTTAGTGAGTGAAATGACTTTAAATCCCTACAACAGATTTCAAATCCTTCGAAGGAAACGTTCTGATTATTTCACGCCTTATTGTTTGAGAGTAGTTCTAAGAGAACAGGATGAAGAACATCAATATAACACCTTCCATACAAATGTATCAGTCTAGGCTGTGACCAAAAAAAGGAGGAGAAAAAAGGGAACAGTGACAATGAAGAATAACTAAATAAAGGTTAATGAAAGTTCTCGCAACAGTAAAGACAACAGATACAGAATACATGTACTCTTGTGTTCAAATTCTACGCTTTACAGCCATGATTAGTCAGTAATTAGTTAATATCTCTTGGACCCTAGATAGAAAGTTTATGCACCCTACATAGATGAAACCACCGACCAGCAACTTCATGGACTTGATCTTATCGTCGATATTTCTTTCTCTGTCAAATCTCTTAACCTTCATTCCTTAAGTCAGTAGAGTATGATACAGTTTTACACTAGCTTACTGACTGGCAGAATTGTACCTCATGAGTAGGAAAGGATTGCGCAAGTTATAGAATGTTAAGTGGACCTGTTTTCTATCAGACTTAGAATTATATTGATGAACACTTACTACGGTTGATGCAAACTCTCAGATAAGCAAAGCAATCATTGGTTTCAACCATGTGAAAAATTACTGACATCTTCGTTTCGAATATTCAGGATCACTAGTCTATCGCCATCACCTTCGCTGCATCACGTCTATATTGTATAAGTATTGTAAACCTACTAATAGTTGTTTTCCACGTAACGAATTGTTTCCTGAATAGTTATAAAATGGAAACGCTTTTTGTCTAACAAACGCAATTTTCAGACTATCAGGACTGTAATAAAAAATGTTTTAGTTGTGATAACTGTCTTTTTGCTTTAAAAAACCAATTTATTTAATTAAAGCTTCCTATTGCAAACTGCGGCGACCTCGTCAAGGCACCAAATATAACCAACATACTTCCTATTTAATTTGTGATAGAGTTACACATTTTCTTTCATATGAGAGTTGGCATCTTTAGACTCTAACTACATTCATTTCCATATAGAGACGTTGAATACACAAATCGATGCAGTCACATAAAGTCGATATTTTAAGCCGAAAAATTTTAGGCAACTTGAAAGAGATGTCAAACATTTCTGGGTTTTAACTCATTGCATTCAACTTGGATACTTATTATTATCATATTATTGTTCCCTTGGGTTCCTAGTGGAAAATAGGGCTTCAACTGCATGTCTCCACTTGATTCTGTCTTCTGCTGTACTTTTCACCTACATCCATGTTAATCCATACTGTTTCATCTCCTCTTCACACGATCTCCTCCATGTCACCCTTGCACTGACGTCCCACTCGCCGCTTCCCTTTCGGGTTCCACTCGAGCGTTGGCCTGACGCGCGATGTCACCCAACGGCCTCCTCAGCGAGTGTCCAATCCATCTCCACTTTCTCCTGCATAATTGTTGGGCGATTGGTTCCTGTTTTGTTTGTTCCCATAGCTTCTTGTTGGTGATTCTTTCCGGCCATCTAATCTTCAGTATGGAGCGAAGACAGTTGTTGATAAAGGTCTGCAACCTGTTGAAAATATTCTTGGTGACCCGCCAAGTTTCTGATCCGTATAGAAGAACTGACTGACTTGACGTTTGTATTGAAAATCCGAATTTTGTTGTTGATGCTGAGTGACGAAGATTTCCAGATTGGTTTCAGGTTGATGAATGTGTTTCTCGCCTTCCCGATTCTCGATTTGACATCCTCGTCCGTTCCTCCTGTGGTTGAGACAATGCTCCCTAGATAAGTGAAAGAAGTAACCTCTTTCAAATCCTTCCCGTTGATGGTGATTGTCGCTGGATGTTGCTGCTGCTGTTGTTGGTTGGTTATTTTCATAACCTCCGTCTTGTCTATGTTCACCTGCAGTCTTGTCTTTGCTGCTTCTTCGACCAGTTTGTCGGTTTTCGCTTGCAAGTCTTCGATTTTGTGTGACATCAAACATAAATCATCCACGCGCGAAATCCAGGTCTTCTAGGTTCTTCACGTCAGTCCAGGATATCCCTGTCTTCTCGTTTTTGACGCATAATGCAGTCCACCACAATTAGGAATATCACTGGTGATAATAAGCACCCTTGTCTGACTCCTGTGTTTACTCCAAACGCTTCGCTGAGTTTTCCGTTGTGGATCACTTGACATGTGCCGTTGTCGTACAGTTGTTGAATAAGGTTGATGAATATTTGGAGTACGCCGTAGTACTTGAGTAGTTTCCAAATTACTTCGCGGTCAACGCTGCGATATCGAAGGCCTTCTCAAAGTCTATGAAGTTGAGGTAGAGATTTGATTGCCATTCCATGCTTTGTTCGATGATAATGCGTAGAGTTGCAATTTGGTCAGAACATGATTTGCCTTTCCTGAATCCAGCTTGTTCTGGTCGGAGTTCTGTATCCAGTGCGTCCTTTATTCTCTCCAGGATGATGCGACTCAGGATTTTACTTGGCGTTGACAGGAGCATGATTCCTCGCCAGTTCTTGCAGAGTCCTAGGTCGCCCTTCTTTGGTAAACTTGGATACTTAATTAATGTTTATTTTGAGAAAAATATACATTCAATTATCTAAAATTATTTTTACATAATCTTAAATAATATTCTTCAATTTCTAGTTAATGCCTGATATTTTTGTGCAGTGCTGTTTGTATTGTTGCTTACATGGTTGGTACATTTTAAATACTGATAAACAATTCGTTAATTTGAATCGGTTCATCGTCTATTCCACCAACCCATCCTCTTCATTCTAACACTTTGTTAAAACTAATAATTACTTTCAAGAGTTAGTTTGTGGGGATTTGGTTTGTTTCAAGTTTGACCACAGAGTAATATATAAGTTACAGAACCATCAAAAACCAGCGTGGGGAAATGGACAGCTGTTTCGTCCTAGTTTGGGATTCATCACCAGTAAGCACACAGGACCTTCCAGTTACAAAGCAAGATCATGGACCACTTATCCACTAGCACCCAACTCAAAAATTCTAACTTCTACTAATTCATGATTTTAGCGCGACCACCAGCCAAAGTCATACGTGAGTATTTGTCCTCACGCCTGACCAGCAGTTACAACTCATAGGCCGTGGAGTTGGATCACAGTGGATCAATGGTCTGCGACCTTGCCTTGCAAGTCGAAGGCCCTGGGTTCGAGTCCCGGAGGGTATCTACTGCTGATGAGTCCTATTATTGCATGAGAAAGCTACCCAGTACTGCATGATTCCCGATGGTTCTCTAACCAATTTCAATCCGTGATCGAACCTACGGATTGTTTTTTCAAAGTCTAGTTTTTCTAACAGTATAAAGAATTCAGCTAATTACCACATAAAACAGACAGCAACTGGTTTCTTCCACTGATCTAAACTGTACTGAGGAGTGAAACTTATGGTTTCAGTACCATAACCACTTCTTTTCTGTTATTTTGACTGATATATGCATTTCATAGAGTGAATTTGTAACTTTTGAAACTGATCAATAGATATCTTTATGTAAGTTAACCTTTAATAGGTTTGTGATTGTACGATACCGACTTTCATTTCTTAATTAATCAGCCTTATTTACAGTTACAGCTGTTTTATGAATCCCAAGTCTATAAAGAAACACAATTTTGAAAAGTTTGTAAGTGTTTATTAATTCGAAGAACAACTGACTGATTTAAATATAGAAATTTGCAGAGATGTACAGCAGTTGCCACATTCCATATAGCACACAAAACAAGAGAGGAGAGTAAAGAGAGATAATAAAAAGAGATGCGAGAGAAAAACAATAGTAATATGGAAGAACGATGGGAGTTTATTGGGAAAGACAGATCACAAAGAGTGAATGCATCTGCACCATTAGGAATGATTTCGAGCCATATTACCAATTGTATACAGCCATTGGTTCTTACCATTCCGAGGATCCCAACCGGGAAGTCTACATCTCCCGACACAGTTTAGACTAAATGTTATAGATTTCATTGGACAATTCCATGTTTTGGTTTGACCCTCACTAGCTTTTCTCCAACCTGATCCTAAGTCAGTCAGCTAACACTGCCTGTGGCGGAAGGTATGCGTGATACATATCCCAACGATCTCAATCAGTGTAACTTTACAACCTCGTCAATTGGTTTCCCCTTCTTAACTAGTATTAGACAGAAGCCTAACCTCAGTGTTACTGATCCTCTTATACCACCTAACATGTGAAATAGAAAGAAGACACCTATAACCAAAGACAGCTAGCCTTTTAAGTTTTCCACTTTCAATGGCAATGTCTCACAGTCGTAAGGGAGGAGAGAGCGAGCTGCTGAGCAATACACACGCCCTTTGGTGAACAGCCAGCTGGGTATCACGTCTACGCCTGAGATAGTGTAAGTCGGCACGTACCAAAGGAGCTTTTCTGTATCCATGATGAGATTTAGTCAGTGGTCAACCGGCTGCGGCTGATGCAAATTCCCAAATAAGTGAAGTGGTCAGTACGCTCTTCCACTTTACGCCCTATCTTTAGTAAATCGACGAAGTTGAGTGCTTTATAGTTTCAACATAAAAAAGTCTGTCAGTATCAATCCTAATAAGTGATCACATTAAAAACTGAACTTTCAACTTATGTAACTGCTCGCTGAAAACACTAAATCAACTATATTAGAAATAGTTCCCGTTCGAATCCCGGTGGGTGCGTACTGCTGAAGAGTCCAAAACTAGAACGAGACATCTGCCCAGTACTCCCAGGTTTTCCAATGGTTCTCTAACTGATGTCAGCTCATGATGAAATCCTGTAACCAATCAAATCCCTACAAAGCAACACTTGAATAGTTCCAGTAAGTTTCATTCCTTGTGTTCCAACTGGAACACAGGGCTTTTAGCTTAAAGATTTGAATTTTCGGTATCGGTTGTATTTTTTTTAGAGGTGTGGAGTTGCTGCCTTCAAGAGTAACTTTTCCTCTTCTCCAGGCTTACTAAAGGCTAGTAGGTTAGGCAGAGTTTAGGACTGCTTGAGGTCAGCATCGAATCCGGGCCCACTGTGTTGTTTGCAAGCATTCTACCATCGAACTTCTTAGGTTCCATTACATTTGTCTAAATACAAAGATATGAACCAATACAACAGTGAATAGCATCAACTCTAGCTTGACAATAAATCTGTGTGTAGATGCTTTCCTTGAACTTCTCATTTTTCATAGCGCAACATAAATTATAAACTTAGACAAAAAAGTACGAAAATTTAACTGCGGTCAAAGGCCTCTATATAATTTGACAGATGCATAAACTATGCTAATAGTCATTAGACCAATTCGTTGGTAGTAAATAAGAAAACCCAAGAATAAAAGCTGAATTCCCAGAAGGTAATCACTGACAGTACATTTTATACTATGGACAATTCCACTGATGAATACTATACAAATCTTCTATGCTGACTCAGTCTCAGTCCCAACTTAGTACAAAAGTGAAGCAATTCAACGTGCCATATTCCTTGTAGGACACAAAGGTAGATAAAAAATATTCAAAAGAACTATAATAAACAAGTACACATGGAAGAAAGAATGGTAGCATGCAAAAATGTGCGGATTTAATGAGTGTGGTAGAATGCAAAGATGGAATGTATATGCACCATTGACAACGATTTTAAGTCCTATCACCTATGGTCTCCACAGCCATTGGTTTTTAGCATCCCGAAGGCCCGACCAGACAGTTTACACTACTCTAAGTGATTGGCTCACACCAACAGTGAAAGACTTCACAGAGTGATGTCAAGTTTTGATTTGATCGCCTCTAACTCTCTGCTAGCCTGATCCTATGTTAACTAGCATCGCTCATTGAGGAAGGCAGTAGCTCGGCTTGCGCTACATGTATTCTAGCCACCTCGATCGATGGAGCTTCATAACCTAACCGACCTACTTGCCCTCCTTACCTAACATCTGTGGTCGACGACAGATAATGTCTTCAGGTTTTCCATTTTCAATAGCCATGTCTCACAGCATTCATCAAATTTACCCAATACATAGTCAAAGGCTGTGCTCAGTGATGAATTTATGGAAGTCAGACAGATGCTTAGAAGATATCCATAATTTAACCTATCAATAACAAGGGAAAATTTCCACAGAATATGCTTTAATTCAATTCATTTAAAGGGATTAACATCTTTGACCGTTACGTCTAAATTAGCTAGTAACAGAAAAGGTCACATGAATAATAAATGCTACAAACATACATATTATTAAAAGCACTATAAAAATCGTTCCTGCCTTTTGTATATTAAAACACCGAGTTGAATAATAAATAACCGGAGTTGTTTTTCTTTAAAATGTAAATATATGCAACATTTCGTTGACCAGTAAGGCACCATTTTCTCTAATTATCAAACACTACTTTTCAATACATGAATACACTGAATGAATTAAAGAGTTTAAAATAGGATCACTGTCTAATGATCGTCCGTGAGCATGATTTGTAACATAAGCCCAGGTTAACTGTTTCTCTGGATCAATAAAAACTCCTTGGCCAAGAATATCATCCCACATTCCAAACATTAGGGTGTTCTATAAGAAGAAGAAGAAAAAAACATCTGGTTAAGAGACATATGATAAATGATAACTTATACAGTCTATACAGTACAACAGAAAACCACTTAGTAATATTACTCAGTAGTAAAATCCAAAGTTTTATTATGTATCAATGGTAGATACCTTTAAAATAACGTGGAAATCCGTTAGAGAACCATTCGGAAACCTGGGAGTACTGGACAGCTGTTTCGTCCCACTTTGGGACTCTTTATCGGTACGTATCCACCAGGGTTCGAAGCCAGGATCACGCATCAACTCCTCAAATAGGAGTTTCATAGCTTCCAACAGTGACCATCCTTCTAGAATGAAGTCAGCAGCTGCAGCCGTCTAAATTACAAGTCGAAATATATAATCATGTTCATAAAAATGTTTCATTGAAATTCATTATGAAAATATTTATCAGATAAACAATACCTTTGGTGAATTAGTGACCATGAAACCTGAAGAAGTAAGTTTTAAATGTCGATGGAGAACCGGATCATAAGAAGAAGTATTTAAAACTTGAAGCATCCAATCTCTAATTGGCTTCTTAAGGACGAACGGATGATTGTCAGATGATGAATTAATGGCAATCTTATCCTTTGAATTTTCTAACAGAGTGAATAAACGGACTAAACTTCGTGCATTAGTGAATAGGTGTGTTGAAACTAATGGAACTTCCAGTAAGTCAGGATTCCAATTATAATAAATCTACATAAACAGAACAAACAAAACAATTAAGTGTAGTTATATGATTATATATACACATATATATATATATATATATATAATATTAGAAAACACACCATCTTTATAAGATGAAGGAGAGTGAAGAGAAAATGAGAAAATAAAGAACAACATAAACTGCATACAACTGTGAAGGCATCAATTTATTCTTGAAAGTCATAGAATGAATACTTTCAGTTTTAGTAGCAATCTACGCCCATTGAAGGAATGATTTTAATGTCTTGATAATGTTGTGGATAGTGCAATGTTAATTTGTGACCATAAGAACTGGAGACAAAGGCAAATAAGAACAACAAAACTTGAATCCTGATGTACCTAACTAACTAGTATTAGAAAGTATGAAGCAAGTGTTTTTGTGCCCCACAGCTAACTGTCATGAAAACGTTGGACATTTTCTAGGATATAACACGTGAACTGATACATCCCATTGTGTTCGGCTATCAATCAAAGGACATGTGTACTGCACTACAGTTTGTTCTGTCCTCCTTTATCGCTGTGAGACATGGCTAGTGAACGTGGATGATATGGAAAAGTTAGCTGTCTTTGATCACAGATGTTTGCATTCTATCTTCCGTGTTGTGTTATACTACGGTAAACAATAATGAGGTCAGACGCACTGGTTCAATGCTCTTCTAAATTTTAGATTGAAAAGATAAACATTTACCTGATAATCATTAAATACATCCAATGCCATATTTCTCACTTTTGAATATGGTAGCCATTTAGAAGTGACTAAGTTTGTCCATGCGTATTTCACATCAAAATATAAAATGGCACAAAACACACTGATAGCATCAGCGTGGTAGGTCCTGGCAGCACGGTATAGTTGGGTTCGAGGGATCCCGATAAGCATGTCCAAACCTTTAATACAATTAAACGAGAGTACATAAAAATAATGATGTAGGGATAACGAACTGCGAAATTTCGTTTATATACGATATATGTTAAATGGTATTCATTAATACTACCTTAACACAGTTTGGCCACTTAAACTAGCCAAAAAATAAATTATTATTATTATTATTGATACTTACCAAGAGGCCATGCAATTTCTTCCATAAAATAACGAGCCAGTGTTCGCCTTTTCGGGTCTACTTTGCGAACGATGGCATCACATAGTATAGCCATCGAGTGCAAATGAAACTGTTGGGTTTCTTTGAAGCAATGAAAAATATTCATTAAACTCACTTGGTGGGATAGGCGGTATTTGGTTGATTATATCATGTAATGCATTTCTATGATCATCTCGCCATTTAGCTAAAGATACATGACTTATAAAATATGGAAAACCAGACTTTTATCGTTAGCAAGTTTCATCAAATACCTGATGCGTGAGTAAGTCTGATATTGAGATATTAGGAACCAAAAACTGTGGCAAATAGTGCTGAATAGAAGAATCAATACTCAGAAGTCCACTATGAAGAAATTAGAAAGACGCTTTCCTTACTCTTGGTATAACTTAGCAAATGTGAAAGGCACAACAACCAAAGACACAGTAAACAACTGACTTATAGTTGACGGCAACCATGGTAGCCGGAAACGTTTATCCACATATCCTCCAACAATGTCGATAACATGTTCTCCACGATAACAAACAGAAAAAGAAGACCCAAGTTCTTTATTTTTCTGTATTTGATTTCTATAATATACAAAATTTACTGTAACTTACTTATAAACATGAACTGCATGCTTAAACATTTCAGAACTGGTTCCCTGCATCTGTGGTTGAAGATAATGAAGAAGTGAATACAGATATCCAAATATGAAGCATATTACGCCCAATATAATTGCCGGTCGGAATGAAAACATCTAACAGAGGGAAAACATTATGATATATATATATATATATATATATATATATATATAATGAGACATTAGAAAAGTAAGACAGACAGGTAAAGATTTTTAAACCAATACCTACTATTACTGCATAAGAAAGTAAGTTATCGCGCCTCAAACTTGAAAATTAAACATCATAAAAAAATATAAGAACTGTAAATCAAGCAACAATGGATTATGTAGTACTTCAAGACAGAAGAAACGAAAAACGCTAGGTAGATAAATATAATGTCATGTTATATCATATTACAGGCATATTACATGCAATTTTAGGCTGTATGAACTGGGAGAAAGAAAATTAATAAACACCTTCTGAATCACTCGAAATTGAGCGGGAGACTTACCATGGACTCACCGATAGAAAATACAAATCTTATAAGACCTCCTACTATGCCTTACAACAAAAGTCTCAGGATTTCAATGCAAAATAAATGAAAGAAAAGAAAGCAGTAGGATGTTCTGTTTTATTACACATGAATTGTTGGGAGTGCTTGGTATACTTACATGGTGCTCCTGAATTACTGGTTTTGTTATTTCAAAAGACGGTAACTTGATCGAATAGATTATGTAGTTAATTTACAACCAATGTATTCAGAATTTATATAACTGTATATATCTTCCTCAGACAGGAGAATTAGATTAAATGACGGATTTCCACCCATCAGGTGACGCTCACACTTTATTACCAAACAAATTTCGAGTAACATTTCTCTGTGGGTAATATTTTAGCTGTGTGTCTATCCAGACTAAATTTACCAACCTCCGTAAAAATAAATAAACGGCATTAACTAGTACCTGGGTACTGCTTTGAATTCTATTTTATCAGTATTTATTTGATGGCATCAATTAATCCTGTTTCTTTGTAATTATAGTTTTTCAGATAGACACGTCTGCATCCCATTATGACAGCGATTCCAATAGCGCTTGAACCTACAGCCATCTGTCTTAACACCATCACACATTTCCAGATGAGTTTTATATGAGACAAACCGCGCATTTACGACACCACCAAACAATACTTGGTGACGTAAACAGCCCAACCTTGAATGTAGTTGGATCTACTAAAAATATTATATGGAAACAGGTGTGCTGAACTTATTTTGACGTGATAACATAGCCAAACAGCAAGTCGAATTAAAAGTTATTCAGCAATTAAGATATTACACCTCACGAAAACTGCACTCAAGCAGATGTTCAGGGTTTAGGTTATCTTACACTCTTCATAAATGACTCTGTAATTTTTAAGTGATCAAGCCCAGAATAGGGAGAAATAAACATATTAAAGAAGTGTCAAAACTCAACAAAGAATTCCCTGAAGTGAACAAATTAAACGAGGATGTAGTGATTTAAGTAGCTGAGAAAAATTGAGAAAATAACTGTAATATCTACCAAGTACTGCATAGTGCTTGTCGACTGATTTTAAAAAAACCATTAGTCGAACAACTGGACGATTTAAAATCCAGTGGATATGAAAGACAATCTACAATCCTTGCACATATTTTAAATTATTTATTTGCATTATTTAATTGCATTTAACCCATCATCTGGAGGAATCTGTTAAAGCAGCGATTCCACATCTATGATGCATACAGTATATGCTAGAATGGACTCGAGGGGCTGAGGTACTAACAGACAGTTGCAATTTTCCTTCTTCACTGTATCGTTGAAAGTTAAACGGCTTTTAATTTGCGTATCGTGTCACATTTAACTCTTTCATTATTAACTTAAACACCTGAAGCATAGTTAAGAGACTGTCAAATAACTGGTGTTTGAGAATGTGTCCTCAGCACCAAACTGTGCAGCAAAGGCAGTGAATTTATGAACGTATTCGTTTTTTGAGTTCACCTTAACACTGTCTTTGAGATTTCTTTGTTAAAATATCCACCCGGGGGTAATTTGCGTCTGACAACGAACGGATGCAATTGAAATTGTAATTTCAATATTCAGTGGACGAATAAAAAGCCACCCAGACAGAGGTACTGCTAGATTGTCTCTATAACCCAGTCGGTTAATTTTTTTTTGGACCTGGGATATGTGGGTAAAAACGTGGGCACTTTGTCGTTTGTGACATGGGTAAAGTGGGAAGAAGTGGGCTATTTTCAAAAATGACATGGGCAAAGTGGGTAATCGTGGGCTATTTTCAAAAATGACATGGGCAAAGTGGGTAATCGTGGGCTATTTTCAAAAATGACATGGGCAAAGTGGGTAATCGTGGGCTATTTTCAACGTGGGTCACGTGGGAAAACAAGGCAAAAGTGGGAGAAAAACATTTCTACGCATATGGGCAAAAGGGGAGAAAATGGGTTATGTGGGCAAAGTGGGTAAAATTGGTTGCATTTACACCATCTTTTGCCCACCTTTTTGCCCATCAAAACTACCCGTTTGTCCCATGTTTTGCCCACATTGCCCACGTGCATTAACCGACTGGGAACTTAACTACATCGCTTCTACCATTAGTTTATTAACGTCTAAGTGCCAGCGAAATAACATATTTTAACCTTTACAAAGCTATTACTATATTCATATCTCTCACTTAAATAAATGTAGTCCCAAACAAACCGAATAGTTATTGGTAATTTATCCGTGTATCCAACTAACATTTAAACTGTCTTATCCTAAAGGTCAAACTACAACCTTTATACAAAGATCCAATATCCAATATCGTTTTTACGAGCTAGTATAAGCCAATTTGATTTCTTTGTGCTCGCCTCTTGATTGTGAGGTAGAAGTTCCTGATCTTCGGTAAACGTCTGCGTAGCTCATCCCGCTACTCGACTGTAGTAGCTTTGGTTGACTCCAAAAGGAGTAGTGCAGGGATTAATTATATGTGGTTTGTAGTATGAGGTCTGTTAAGACTGTTACTACTGTGAATGGAGTTGATCCTTTCACCAGTTGGTCCTTCGGTATCGTCGTCAATAGAAAAGAGATAATAATAATATATAATTAGTTAAATTATTCAGACTAACAGACAGAAAAAGAAATAAGGAAAACGTAACAACAGTCAGCGGATTAAATCCTCAGTTGATATATATATATATATATGTATATATATCGGTAATAATAATAAGTGTAGTTAGAGTTGTCAGGAGAGTAAGACGGGAGAGAATGTAAAGAAGTGAAACGACAAGTTTAATTGTCTACCCTTGAATGGTATATGGGGTTTTAAGGGGATAGGCCATTTGGACGCAGTCCTTGTGTCACTGAATGGTTGTCCACAGACTGTGCCATAGCTACATCTGCCGGTAAGGAATTCCAGGGACGGCAAACCCGCAGTGAAAAGAAGTGGGAGCGCACCCGGGTCCTTGCCCTCCGGTGAGCTATCCCTCTGGGATTTACACGAGGAAGCCTATACCTACCCAGTGGCAGAACACCTTTGTTTGGGTGATTCTGGTCATCTGTTATTTTGTAGGCAGTAATCGAATCCCCCTAAGCCGACTGTAGCTAAGTGTGAATGACCTAATTTCTTCAGCCTTTCATCATATGGTTTATTTCGGAGACCAACCACTCCTTTTGTTGCCCGTCTTTGAACTCTTTATAAGAGGTTGGCGTCTCTTAGCACTGGAGGTGCAATAATATTATGCAATTCAAGGTGTGGTCTGATGTATGTTTTGTACAACCTTAGAAAGAGCTCAGGAGTGAGTGCATCCGACTGTCTATGTGTAAAGTGTATGACCGAATATGCCCTCGCTACGTCCCCCGTGTAATTTACGCTTGTGTCCACTTTTTCCGTTAGAACTAGACTTAAGTCACGTTCCGACGTTGTGCAGGACAAGCTTTCACTGCACAGGGTGTAACCTCCATTCTACAGTCTACAGGTGCGCAATTTCACTACTTTGCACTTTATCAGGTTGAAAGTCATGCCACTGGCCACCGCCCAGTCTTCCAGAAGGTTTCGATCTTCCTGTAGCCTATCTGAGTCCTCCAGGCACTTTATCGCCCTCCATATCTTCACGTCGTGAGCGTACAGAAGAGTCGGGTAGCTTAGACGGCATGGTAGATCGTTGATAAAAATCAAAAACATCAGTGGTCCTAGGACAGAAACCTGCGACACTTCTGATGACGAGCTGTGCCAAGATGATCGAACTCGATTGACCTTAGTGCGAAATTGCCTCTCAGCTAGGTAGTCTTTTAACCATGACAGAAATGGCCTACCTATACCTGCCTGACTTATTTTGTGTAGGAGAAGGTCATGGTGAACTGTGTCAAATGCCTTCCCAAAGTTTAGGAAGACCACATGGACTGGAACATTCATATCCCAGCATGATGTCCAATCGTCCCAAGCTCATAGAGGGTTGGTTACACAGCATCTGCCTTTCCTGAAACCGTGTTGGGCTTCATGGAGTATATTAGACCTACCGAGATATTCCCTGATGTGATCGTCAATGATACCTTCCAGTAATTTCGATACCACTGGGAGTAGAGCTACTGGTCTATAACTAGTGGCATTTTGCCTATCCCCACCCTTGAAGATCAGAGAAGGGATGGTTGTTTTCCATTCCCTTAGCGGTTTCCCCGAGTCAATCGAGTGTTGGAACAAGTCGCATAAGGGCCTACAGAGAGCTTCGACTCACGCTTTCAGGACAGATGGCCTGATGTCGTCACAACCTGGGGACTTCCTCGGTGTGAGCCGCTGTAGCTTCCCTAGTACTATTGCAGGGTTCATTAGGGAGTAGCCACTAGGTCTTCCTCTTGTGAAATAGTAGTGCCACCATTTTGTCCGTACCGGTAATACCCACATTGCTGTTTTACTGTTTGGCGAAGGCTAAACTGAATGTTTCCGCCATCCCCAGACTAGTGAGATATTGACCGTTTGGGCCTATTAAGGCGCATGCCCCCTGGTTGGTTGTTCTTCTTTCCGACATGAATCGACACAAGTTGTTGGGGTTTGCTAGGAGTCTTTTGGCGAAGTTAGCCTGGAATGACCTCCTGTCACTCCTGACTCTCGCGTTGCACCGGTTACTGAGTTTCAGGTATGCGTCGTGGTCGGTCTGACTCTTGGATACGCGCCAAGTAAACCAAGCCTTCCTCTTTGCTTGCAGAACACGTTGCGTGCCTCTCTTCAACCATGATGACTTCCCTTTGGGCTGTGTTGTGAATAAAGTGACGGTATCCGAGATTGCTGTATGAATTATCTTTTTTACCACTTCCTGGTGTTCATCCACAGATAACTCATCCCATGCTAAGGACCAGTCTGCGTCGGACAAGAGCCTCCGCATTTCAGCATAGTCAGCCTTGCTACACAACAGATATGGTTGCGTAACGTCCCACTGTAAATGCTCACGGAGAACGAGATCGAAACCTATGACTGCATGGTCACTACTTCCTAGAGGAGTCATGATCTGGACCTTTTCGACGAGTAGTTGGTCACTAGTTACAATGTAATCTAGTTTCGATAACTTTCCACTAGGGCCCTATCTAGCGTCGTCTCCAACATTCTCATTCAGTCCTGTATTTCGAATAGTTTGCATACACCGAGCCAAGGTTCAGTGATAGGGCATTGAAATCTCCAGCTATGGTGATTTGGTCATAGCCCAAGTCCCGTATCCCTACGTTGGTGCTGAGCATTAGCTGGTTGTGCTCTACCCCACAGGTGGGGAATCAGTAGATGCCACCCAGTAAGTGCATGGTGTGGCCTACGGTGAAATGACACCATACGGAGTCTGGGAGTTCGATAAGTGGCGGGTCCACTGTGTGTGCACACATTTAAGTTGCCTGTCAAAAAATATATAGCAACTCCCCCTCCTTCCTTATTATCCCTATCTCTCCTGACCAGAACCATGTCACCTATACTGATTTCATTGTTGGCGATAGTGGGGGTTAGCCAGGTTTCAGTGAGAATTATTATTTTAAGTTGTAGGTGTGATTGGAGATTTCTGAGTTCGCCTACTTTTCCTCTCAATCCTCTCACATTGCTATATAGGCAGCTGACAGTGAGTCTCACAACCCCAGTGTGTTGTGGGGTAGTTGACGTGAAGCTGTCTGGTGGTAGGGGACTTAATGTTGGGACTAGTTGGCCGATTCCGATGGAACCGGCCCGTTGTAGTTTTTTCCATGAATTCAGGTAAGACACTTGGGTGACACAGACTGTTATTCTCAGTACTGCACCGCTCTAGTGTCACTGAGGCTTGGGGACGTATTAAAGCCTCAGTTTGCTGCCTCCTTATGGTTCGGGGTCTGCTTTCACAGCATCGGATGTCCCCTATTTCCCCCTTGGCCTCATACCAATGTTGAAGAGCTACGATCAGCTGCTCCGCGGAGTTGAATGGGACACTTAGCAGCTTTGGAGAGCTAATCAGTGTGACATGAGTGGGGCGAGGTAGTCGGGAAATGGAGATGGCTCCAGAAGCGCCAAGGGCCATCCGAGATGACAGCCATCTCCACTGCTGTATATCATATATGTGTTTCTCACAAGCAGTGCCCATTTCCAGCTCCGAAAAACCGTGTACGTCCATAGAGGTAGGAGGCTTCAGTTCCGGTGACTCCCTCGCCATTTGTCTGTTAGCCCATGGTCTATCATGTCTCACCTTTATGCTCGAACATCTGTCGATGGCTAGTACCTGAGCCATTAATAGTATTCTTTCGGCCTCTTCGGTAGAGTTCAGTGTAACCCTGAGGCGTATAGACACCGCTCTACAGCCTGCACAATTTTGCTGAATTAATGTTCAGACTTAATTTATTGCACAAGTTGGACCACTGTTCCTGATCAAACAGGGCCCGCTGTTCAAGCTAGCTGTCCTCGCTCACAGGTACGTTTAAGAGGATAAGAGTATTCGACCGATAACCTCAGATTTAGGTTTGGCCTTCGGCTTCTTGTATTCCATGGCAGCATCAGCAACTTTAGGCTTCGTCAGGTTATGGCCAGTCTTTGTTGTGTTGCCGAGCTTTTCTGGTGGTACTTTTCTAATTCTCTCTTTCCTTGATGTTTTGGGTCCAACCTTTTGAATCTTCACCTTATGAAAATTGGCATTTTCAGTTAGTAGGACCGGAGTGTGCTTCTCACTGTCTGTGCCAATTTTTGGCAGTGTTGTGTTGGCAGGTGGGGAGATGCATAAGACTTTGTTGGGACACAAGAGCGACTTGTTGTTTCTGCTATCCACAGACACGCTCTTTGGGACTATGCCAGGGCGACAAAGTTGACAGATGTACCAAAACACAGGCACGGGTTATTTCTCATAAACTCGTAGTATGCTTTCGACACCTCTTTGTACCAGCGGCAGTGCACCCATCGTTTGCAAAAACTGCATTCAAACGCTGAGTCAGCTTTAGAAACTACGATACTACACGCCTGGCATTCGTCTCCCTTACTTGATGGTGCCTTCGAGGTCTTATGACGTCTTGAGCGTTTCCTTTTTGGTTTGCTGTGTTTCACACACTGGCTTTCAGTTGATGCAGGTGTAGTATCCTGTCCCCCTGGTATTGCCTGTGCCGTTTCAGTACTAGACTGTGGCAATGGAGGCGTAGTATCAGGACAGACGAGACCTACACGAGTCTTTAGGTATGCGACATGGGGTTCATGTCCCTGGGTTTTGACCTTCTCTGGCTGAACCCCTTGTGACTACAGAGTAAGGTGTTTTAGTGCCATTTCTAAGGCCAATTTCGACAGCCATATTAACAATCACTA